CTCCTCAGGAAAAAACCCTCAGAGCCCAACTGCCACCACCAGCTTCCCACAAGCCTCTCACCCCCACACCAGCCTCTCCACCTTCCACAATCCTCCTGCTCTTGAGGCCGATTGGCTGGGTCGCATGGGTGGAGCCAAAGAAGTCCCCCAATGAGCAGTTCTGAGGTCTGAAAGGCAGGGAAACAGCCCAATGAACATCACCACAGAGGAGCCAATCAGCTAGATGTTGCTGGGGCGCTGTGAGTCAATCATTGTTAAATATATCACACTTGGAAGTTTTCTAGCATATTTAACAGCTGGAAGTTTGCTGGGGCCCCTTTGGCTGTGGCTCTCAACAGCCCCCTCCTTGATTTCTATGGTTAACACATCTTTGTTTTTCTTTATAATTTTGCAGACTATGGATTCCCAAACAGTATAGCCTAGTTTTGCCTGATCCGGAGCTGCATATAAATGGAATACATTTTTTCTGAATCTGGATTTTTTTCCCACTCTGTATTATGTTTGTAATACAGGTACAATAATACAGGTATGTTTGGCCCCCGAGATTGTTTCAAACTTGGTGTTGTCTCTTTTTTTCATTTCGTCATTTTTGTGGGAATGTGGTGGCGCCATGTTATATTTCATTTTGCCTCTCACCATTACTAATGAATTGACTCTTTTTTCATGTTTATTGCCACTCAGATACTGCTTTTGTTTGTTTGTTTTGTGATGTGGTAGTTTGAGATTTTGCCAATTTCTGTTTTATTGTGTTGTCTTTTCTTCTTGATTTGTCAGAGTTGTTCTATATTCTGAATAACACAGCCATTTTGGATATAAGCATTGCAAGTATCTTTTCCCATTCTTGGGGGTTCCTCTCATTCTATTTAATAGTATCTCTTAGAAAAATAATTTCTTAATCTTAATATGACCCAGTTTATCAATTTTGTCCTTTGTAAGTAATGTTCTTTAAATCCTCTTAATTTTTTTCCTACTCCAGAGTCATAAAGATGTTCTGTTTTCCTCTAAAAGCTTTTATGGATTTACCTTTCATATTTAGAACTACAATCCATCTACAATCAATTTTGAGTATGGTATAAGGTATATGTCAAGATACATTTTTTCTTATGAATATCCAGTTCACCCAATATAATCTGTTGGATAAACCATCCTTTTCCAACTTGCCCTGCAGCACCGCCATGGTCATAAACCAAATGATAAAGTATATGACATTACTATGTGACGTCACGTAGAGATCACCTTGATGAGGAGGTAGATTCAAAGTGCACTTCAAGGCAAGCCATTTCAGATACCAAGCTAAGTAGTCTGAGTGAGTTTTATTTAATCAATGAAAACACAAAGTAAGAAGCAAAAGGAAAGAGAAAAGGGAATGAATTAAATTTTTTTTTCTTTCACTTTTTTTATTACTGCATTAGAGTTATATATAACAGTGGGGTTCATTTTGACATAATTATACAGGCTTTGAATATAATTTGCTCCAATTCTGTCCCCAGTGCTTTGCCTTTCCCTCCCTTCCTCTCTCCCCTGTTGCCTTTCCTCTGCTGGTCTTTCTTCTATTTTCTCATAGTTCTTTTTAAATTAGAATTTTTTAAATGTATACTCTGCTTTATAGATATACATAAAGGTGAAGTTCACTGTGGTATATTCATACACACTCATGATAGTTTGGTGGATATCATTCTGGTGTTCCTCCCTTTTCCCACTGCTCCTCCCTGCTCCTCACTCCCCTTCCTCCACTCCCCTGATCTCTCTTCCATTTTCATGGGATGCCCCACCACCACTTTCCCCCCTTATTTTGGTCTAGCTTCCGCACATGAGACAAAAAAACTACGGAACACTTGGTGAATTTACATGTCATCCTTGCACAGGGACCGTGCCCATCTTCCCTGTATTGTTTTAATTCTGGTGTATTTGCTGCCAAGGCAAGCGTGCGAATAAAAGTTGACAAGGAAGAGATTGGAAAGTGGATGAGTGGTGCTATGGATACCCACACTATCCGGCTCTCGTATAGCTTCCTCTCTGTTTCTCTCCCGCTCCTGGACCTTTCCTTCCTTCATCATCTTTTTTTTGTATTGCCCTTTTCCCAATAGTATGTGCAAAATGAAGAAAACTGGATCTAAAGAAAATTATAGCCGGACACAAGGGCACATGCCTGTAATCCCAGCAAGTGGGGAACTGAGGCAAGAGAATTGCATGTTAAAAGCCAACTTCACAATTTAGTGAGACCCTGTCTCAAAATAAAAATTAGAAAGGCTGGGGATGTAGCTCAGTGGCACCCCTGGGTTTCAACCCTAGTACCAATAGATAAATAAATATTACAAAAATTGCACTTAATAGCTTTGGAATAAAAAAAAGAAAACTATAGTGACAACAATTTTCAAGACACCAAAAACAAAGTGACAGTCTTTTAACAACTGCAGCTTTGTCACTAAATCCGATTTCCTCACAGCAAGTGGTCCAGAGCCTTGGGAGCCATTTCTATCACATAACCAGTCCCAACAGCTCAACCCTCTGAGTCCCACTGGGACTATATACAAATGATCTATCTCGCTGTTATCAGTAAGCAATGCTGACAAAGTGGGAGAAACCACCCTAAGATTTCTTAGACCCATGGACACAAATCAAGACTATAAATTCATGTTATGCCTTTTACAAAAATGACAAGTTAGAACTGCAGCCAATCAGCTCAGGTGAATTCTAGGTCCACTGGAATAAACTCACAGAGCACATTAAAAGTAATTTTAGTGGAATGGCTGATTGAAGTGGATTTAAGAGAATATTACAGTGCTGTACTGCTGAGTTTAGTACATATATAGGCCTAATAGCAGCACAACAGAGGGGAGAGTGGAGCTGTCTTGTGGCTTAGGTCTGTATTTTGCTAGAATTAAGCTAGTTTTACTCTAAAGTAAAATGTGAAAAGTTCAGATTCATGTTGTAATGCCTAAGGCACCACTAAGAAAATTTCTCACAAAATATAAACACAAGAATAAAATGATACAGTAGAAAATACATATTTACTATAAAGGAAGCGGTAAAGGAAGATAAATGGATCGAAAACAAAACTTACAGACAAAAAAACCCCACAAATTAAAAAATGGCAGTTGTGGGCTGGGATTGTGGCTCAGTGGCACAGCGCTTGCCTTGCATATATGAGGCCCTGGGTTCAATCCTCAACACCACATAATAATAAATAAATAAAATAAAGGTATTGTGTCCATCTACAAGTAAAGAAAAAAAAATTTTAAAGGCAGGTGTAAATTCATCTAGTTCAATAATGACACTAAGGTGAATTAATAAAACATACTAATATGAAAAAAGAATAATGATATTCAGTGTGAATGGATTAAATATTCAAATCAAGTCAGAAATTGTCATTAGAAACTGGATTAAAAATTCAATTATATTCTCTCTACAAGAAACACACCGTAGTTTCAAAAACACAAATAGATTGAAAATAAAAGACTGGAAAAAGATACACCATGAGACCAGTACCCAGAAAAAAAAAGTAGAGTCATATATTAATAATGAATAAAACAGACTTGGGACAAAATACATTACTAGAAGCAAAGAAAGAAATTTTATATTGAGAGAAGGGCTAATTGATCAGGAAGAATTAAGAATTCCAAGCATATACTTATGTATGAAAGAGCTCCAAAATTGTGTATAGCAAAAACTAACAGAATTGAAGGGAAAAATATACAATTCATCAATAATAGAGACTTCAGTATCTATGATCAATAATGGACACAATAACTAAACTGAAAATCAGCAAGAATATAGTCTATGATCAGTTGGCCTGATTGACATCTATGAAGCACTCCAACCAGAGACAACAAAATACATATTCCTCTCAAGCACATATAGTATACTCCCTAGGGTATAGTTGGCCATGTACAAATCTCAATAAATTTAAAATGATCTAAACCATACAAAATATATTCTCTGACTGCAGTGAAATAAAATTAGAAATCAACAAAAGAAGGACATTTGGAAAATCCAGGAGTATTTGAAAATTAAATGTACACTACCAAATAATTCACAATTCAAAGAAAATCACAAAGGAAATCAACCAAATATTTATTTGTTCATTAATTTAGTGCTGGGGATCTAACCTAAGACCTCACACATGCTATGCAAGTACTTTATCACTGACCTGTATCCCCAGCCCTTAACCAAGCAGGAAGAAAAATGCCCACAACATAACTGGTACATGGTGTTTAGGAGAAAGTTATAGCTACAAATGCCTATATCAAAAAAAGAAAGAAAAGAAGAAAGGAAGGAAGAAGAAGTCAAATCAATAACAAAAGTTTACACATTAAGAAACTAGGGGCTGGGGATGTGGCTCAAGCGGTAGCGCGCTCGCCTGGCATGTGTACGGCCCGGGTTCGATCCTCAGCACCACATACAAACAAAGATGTTGTGTCTGCCGAAAACTAAAAAATAAATTTAAAAAAAAAGAAACTAGAAAAAAGAAGAGCAAACTAAGCACACATTTTAAATTCATATGGAGAAGTAAGAAAGTAACTTTATTCCTTTAAAAAAGCAAGCCAGATACCCCATCAATACTTAAATAATTACCTTTTCCATATCTATTTGAAATGCCACCTTACGAAAACATCAACATACCATGCAACAGAACATAACTTCTCCTAAATTTAAAAACCAAATGCAATGGGCTAGAGTTGTGGCTCAGTGGCAGAGCACTTGCCTAGTATGTGTGAGGCACTGGGTTCGATTCTCAGGACCACATATAAATCAATAAAATAAAGGTCTATCGACAACTAAAAAGATTTCTTTAAAAAAATACACTAAAAAAGGTGAAGTTGAATCAAAATGATTTTCTATGATCATCTGATTTACAAAGCAAGTCATTGAACAACGGAAATGGTTTGTTACATTCCAAGGCAGTGGAGATGGTATGATCTGGCCTGTTAAACAAATGAGTGACACCTGGAACATTGGTTTACAGGTTGAATAAAAATTTTCAAAAGAAGGTGTGTACCATGAATACGCAGAAGTCTGATGGACAGACAGAAGCAGAGAAAGGTCAGGGTATGGTTTCATGTTTGGAATACAAATCTTTGAGATCATCTTCATGGCATCTTTCCACACACCTCAAAGGTATAAAAGACCCTGGTTCAATCTGAGTGCTCAGCTCCACACCTGACACCCAGGAGTCTCAAACTTCCACGAACGGTTAGTGCGTATACTTTTTCTCATGGGGATTCTTTTGCCTATTGATCAAATTTTGTACCTATTCAGCACTTGTTCTCTCTATATTTGTGTTCTGTCCCCAGTCCACATGTCTAGTCAAGCAGCCTTTTTACTAAGAGGATGAATGGATTGCTGAAAATAATAATAGAATAATGACAAGGGACAAAGGCAATTGCAATTCATTAAAAAGTAGGAAGGGATAATGAAAAGATTTTGGTGAAAATAAATGGTACTGAAAATATGATCTGGGGAAGTTGTTATGTGGGGATCTATCTGGCTCTGAAGAGGATGCATGAGACTCAGGTCAATGCAGCTTTTCTAAAAGGTGGCGAAATCGCCACATCTGTTCCAATCCTGATTCCTTTTCCCAAAAAACACTACAAATAATGTTATCTGAACTTGCACTTATTTCTTTTGTGGGGGTTTGTTTGTTGTTTGAATCTTCATTGAAGGACCCCTAGGGAATATCTTTTATATACACACACACACATATACACACACACATATCATACATATACATATATATTATGTATACATAATAATCACACATATATTATATATGCATGATATATATAATTTATATATATTATATATGATTTGTATACATGACAAATATATATAATGTATATCATATATAACATGTTACATATCTATATGTATGATATTTGTATATATATTTCTCTCCAAGATTTCCTATTCAGAAAGACACTAAATTATAAACACCATACCCCTCTTATATCTAACAATAGTTCTACTTCAATACTGTATGATAAATCCTGAGGTGCTTGGTAACAAATAGCAAAAATTAGATATGATCCTCTGCACAAGAGGAAATGTCATGCACCCATTTCAGGCTGGCTCCAGCTCGCAGCTGAAGTCCATCCCGATTGGCTCAGTGAACATCAACTACAACGCCTAAAGGAAATGCTTGTTGTGGTTGATGAAGATGACAAGGTCCTTGGGGAGGACACCAAGAGGAGCTGCCATCTGAACGAGAACATCGAGAAAGGTGGCGCCACATGTTTTTTTGTTAATTTTGCAAGATTTTCTCATTTTTCCCACCTGAGAGAGATGGAGAGCCAGGCGAATCTGGGCTTTTTGCATAAGGAGGCCATATGGGCACCTTGTCCTTTCACCGCTTCTCTTTTTGGGAAAAGATTCTGAGGCACCCACCTTGACAAAGAGTCTCTGCTCAGCCTAAGTGTCAGCAGAGTCCGAGCCTCCCAGACAACTGTGCGCTCCCCTTGTAAAACCCAGCTCAAGCAAGAATCCTGCTAACTTGGTTCAGAGAGACTCCCACCCTCTGTATCTGCTCAGGTCCTCATGCCACACCATCCTCAGGTGATGTCTGATCACCCAGGTCTTGGGAAAGAACCACATTAATCCTGTAGACCTAATTGGAATGCCTCTTGCCCCAGACATACCCTCCTAGAAATTTTCCTTCGGCCTTCCTCCATTTTGCTCCTTAGGGACAAATTCCCTCCTGCCAGTGCTGATTTCAGAGTTGATACCAGAGCTACTCTAAGGTCTCTTTTCCCCTACTGCAATAGTTGTGAATAAAATCTGGTTTTCCTGATTGAACTACCATCCAGCTCTGGTCTTCTCTGACAAGCCTAAACTTTTACTTTGAGTTTCACTTTGTCAAACAAGTTGAATTACCTAAATGTTTCAAAATGTCAATTTAGACAACTGCATGTCCTTGAGTAGGGACTCAAAGGTCAAATACAGATTTTTCAGACAAGACGCAGACTGAGGACAGAACCGATGACTATTGCAGGGACTCCCCGTGTTCACTCACAGTCTTGGGCTTGTCCTCCCAGGGCTGCTGCACAGAGCCTTCAGTGTGGTTTTGTTCAATACAGAGAAGAAAGTCCGATTCAGACGCGATCAGACATCAAGCTGACTTTTCCTGGTAAGTCCACTCAGTTGAACCTATGACTTAACAGAAACTTTCCATGTAATCTGACCTGGCAGATTCCGAGACATGAATTATCTGCACAGCCAGATGACATTTTAGGGGGAAACTGCAGACCCATACTTACCAGTCTGGTATTTCTTCAGTGGCCTGGGTTTTTTCTAGTTGGGATTTTTTTTTTCTGGCAGTATAAAGCTATTTAAATCCAGAAGAACTTATCCGTCTAAGGTATTGGGGAACTAAAATAAATAATATTTAAACATAAAATTAAGAAGATAATGAGGGCTGGGGATATGGCTCAAGTGGTAGCACACTTGCCTGGTATGTGTAAGGCACTGGGTTCGATCCTCAGCACCACACAAAAATAAAATAAAGATATTGTGTCCACCTAAAGCTAAAAAACAAATATTTAAAAAAGAAGATAATGATAGAAATATCATCCTACCATCCAAGTCTTAAGACTGAATTTTTCTATACTTCCTAAGATCATGACAAATGTAAGAATATCCCTTTAGAAGCGAGGATAGCAGATGATGACATTCATAAATTATCCTGAGCTACAGAAAAGAATAGGGGCAGGGACTTCTGGAGGGAAGTGCGACAAGTTATGGAAGAGTAAAGGAAGAAATAATACGGGGAATAAAGATTACCTTGTGATGCAAATATAAAAGCTTCCCAGGTAATAGAAGATCTCAAGGAGGAACTGTCAGAATAGGTGCCACCTGTGAAAAAGCTATCTGGGTGGGGAGCCCCTCCAATTTCTGCTGGTGGATCTTTGCACGGCATCTTACTGACTTCCCAGGGAGAAGATGTATAATGTTGTTTTCATAGTCTCTGGTCAGATAGGGCAAGTTCAGAGCAAGCCCCTTCCTCCACTTGCTCTTTTCCAGGTTTTCTCAGTTTGGAGTCCAAAACAGCAATTTTGGTGTGGCATTTCCCAATCTCCTGTTCCTGCCATCATATTTCGAGGTGGTGTGTCCCAAGCCCAACACTCCCACATATGCCCTTTACTTCCCCAGCGAGACTCTAAATCCACTGATGCCATACACACATGCGCTCATCTCTTCTTCTCTCAAATGGGATTTCAGATCCATTGTGGGACATAAATCTGCCCAAGAACCGCTTCTGGTCCTGAGACTGACTTGGAAAGTGCAACAGGGCATGTGGGTGAGCACCTGCAGCAGGCAGCCAAGGCTGAGTCTTAGGAACAGCCCCAAAAGTAGTCACCCAGAGGCACCTCACCCAAACCCTCACCCCATGGCAGCAGGGACACAGGCTCTGCCCTGAGCACCATAGCAAACCTGCACTTCCCACCTGCCAGGCTGATGATGACAGATAATGACAATTTTACCCAAGGAGTCTGTATTTGTATTTAATATATTTGAATAAAGTAAGAGGGATGTTTCCCTTGTATGTTTTTTCCAGGGCATTTTACTGACTCCTGTTGTAGTCACCCATTATACAACCCTGCAGAACTGGAAGAAAAGGACGCCTTGGGAGTGAAGAGGGCAGCCCTGAGACGCCTGCAGGCTGAGCTGGGAATTCCCCAGGAGAGGTACGAATATCTGCCCAGTAACAACTGTGCTGTCCCAGGAACTGGATCTGTGCCCTTGCCTGGCAATGGTGCTATTGCAGAGGACAGGGTCATAGCACATTGGTTTGTTCTGGGCAGGGTTGGGATGGTTCAGGAATCTGGTTTCCTATTAAAAAATTGAAGAAGAAATTGCAGTGTACGCTAAAAGGAATGTCCAGGATCAGCCGTGACTGTCCATTACCCATTTGTTAACTTTATCTGTAAAGCCAGTAGGTGAGAGAGGATGGCCAGTTTTCATTGGCTTTTTTGAAGGAGTTGATCCTTCAAAATAGGACGGAGATACATTTGTTACACCAAGGAAACCAAAGTCAGATTATTATTCAGATTTGAGTCCACAAAACTTTAGTTAGTTCTCTCTGCTCCCTGGCTACCACAGGGTGAACAGCTTTCCTTCGCCATGCTTTTAGCCATGATGCTACAGCTCATCTTGGCCAGGGCAATAGAGTTGGCTGATCATGGACTGAACCTCTGAAGTTCATTAACAGTGTAGACCACTAGCAGTCTTTGCACTTCTGGTACTGTGTTAACACGGTAGATACAAGGACCATTGCTCCTTAGGAACAGTTTCCAAGTGAATACACAGGGAGTCTTAGGCCCCTGGACTTAGACATACCCATCACAGATGACATAGTTTCAAATGAGAAGGGCATATCTCATGACAGCAGGGGACAGGAATAGGCCTGAGCAACAGCTCTCCAGCTGTTCCAGAGCAATCAAACCAATGTCTACTGAGACAACCAATGGTTAAAAACAAGACCACACCTGTAGAGTGTTCACCAGAAATCCTTGACACACCAAAGTGCCACTGATTACATCATCATCATTTTTTGGAAGGAAAGAATATTCATGCCATATATGTCCCAAATCTGGACCTGGTATTTGTCCATCGTCATGACATTAAGGAAAAAACCCAAGAAAGATCACATCTGCTAAGGCTAACTGACTTTTCAGGGAGTCTACAACCTTTTCCCATCTGTGTCAACTGTTTTATAGCCATTCCTAGGTCTCCAAGGCAATTTTAAAAGGTAGCATGCATCCATAAATCTGCATAAAAATGCATAATGCATACATCTGCATAAAAATTGTGCATTTTCAAAGTGATCTGCTATTTCTTGAATCAATTTTATTTTTGTGTTAGTGCCAATAAAGTTTGCAATCTCCCCTTAAAGAAAAAAAATCATTTAAAATTAAGGTTTGGATAATAATCAATTACCAACAGAATTTGTTTATCTCCTCTGAGGTAAACAAATGTGTTTATTTTCTCCTTTTTCCTGTACACTGTATTTTATGCTAATGTTATTAATATTGCATCAATTTCTGCCACAGCTTTCTACAGAGGACATAGTGTTTATGACAAGATATTATTACAAAGCAAAATCAGATCAAATTTGGGGAGAACATGAGATCTGCTACCTTCTCTTAGTGAAGAAGAATGTGACCATCCACCCAGATCCCGATGAAGTTGACAGCTGCTGCTACCTGGCCCAGGAGGAATTGGAAGAGCTCATGGAAAAGGCAGCCAGGAGCGAAGCGAGGGTCACACCCTGGCTGAGAATCATTGCAGAGAGGTTTCTGTATAAGTGGTGGCCTCACTTGGATGAAGTGACCCAGTTTGTGGAGCTTCATAAGATACACAGAGTGTGAAAAACAGGGAGGAAAGTGTCTGCCAGGAAAGACCAGATAGCAAAGGCTATGCTTGCAAGTGGGAGACTCTGGTTTAAATGGGATTACGCACCTCAACCAAAAAAGGGAAAAAAGGGGACTCGATTGCTAATCATCTATAAATCACTACTTTTGATCATTTAATCTGCTTTGTCATGTTGTCTTCATTTCCCCCTTTGCTTTATTTCTGTCTTTCATCTGCCTAATTGCAGGGAGGGAATTTATTGTTTTCCCCAGATGATTTCTAAAAAATTTTAAAGTTCATTTTAAAAATGGAGGAAAAAAGAAGAAGAGAAAATCCCACAAGTAGAGATCTGAAATCAGCATTGTAGTAGCTAAATATCACATAACCATCTTTGGACAGCCCTTGGATGGGTCTCCAGGCCTCTTTTTTTTTTTTTTT